TCATCAGACCCCACTCCTATTCCTTCTTTTCCACCAGGCCCCGCTTCTATGCCTTCTGTTCCATCAGCCCCCTTTCCTATTCCTTCTATTCCACCAGACCCCTCTCCTATTCCTTCTATTCCACCAGACACCGCTCCTATTCCTTCTTTTCCACCAGACCCCGCTCCTATTCCTTCTATTCCACCAGACCCCGCTCCTATTCCTTCTATTCCACCAGACAACGCTCCTATTCTTTCTTTTCCACCAGGCCCCGCTTCTATGCCTTCTGTTCCATCAGCCCCCTTTCCTATTCCTTCTATTCCACCAGACCCCGCTCCTATTCCTTCTATACCACCAGACCCCGCTCCTATTCCTTCTATACCACCAGACACCGCTCCTATTCCTTCTTTTCCACCAGCCTCCTCTCCTGTTCCTTCTATTCCACCAGACCCCGCACCTATTCCTTCTATTCCACCAGACAACGCTCCTATTCCTTCTATTCCACCAGACCCCGCTCCTATTCCTTCTATTCCACCAGACCCCACTCCTATTTCTTCTATTCCACCAGACCCTGCTCCTATTCCTTCTATTCCACCAGACCCCGCTCCTATTCCTTCTATTCCACCAGACAACGCTCCTATTCCTTCTATTCCACCAGACCCCGCTCCTATTCCTTCTATTCCACCAGACCCCACTCCTATTCCTTCTATTCCACCAGACAACGCTCCTATTCCTTCTATTACACCAGACAACGCTCCTATTCTTTCTTTTCCACCAGACCTCGCTCCTATTCCTTCTATTCCACCAGACCCCTCTCCTAATCCTTCTATTCCACCAGCCCCCTCTCCTGTTCCTTCTATTCCACCAGACCCCACTCCTATTCCTTCTATTCCACCAGATCCCACTCCTATTCCTTCTATTCCACCAGACCCCGCTTCTATTCCTTCTGTTCTACCAGACCCCGCTCCTATTCCTTCTATTCCACCAGACACCGCTCCTATTCCTTCTATTCCACCAGACCCCGCTCCTGTTCCTTCTATTCCACCAGACCCCACTCCTATTCCTTCTATTCCACCAGACCCCACTCCTATTCCTTCTATTCTACCAGACCCCGCTTCTATTCCTTCTATTTCACCAGACACCGCTCCTATGCCTTCTATTCCACCAGCCCCCTCTCCTATTCTTTCTATTCCACCAGATCCCACTCCTATTCCTTCTATTCCACCAGACCCCGCTCCTATTCCTTCTATTGCACCAGACCCCTCTCCTATTCTTTCTATTCCACCAGACCCCGCTCCTATTCTTTCAATTCCACCAGACCCTGCTCCTATTCCTTCTATTCCACCAGCCCCCTTTCCTATTCCTTCTATTCCACCAGCCCCCTCTCCTATTCTTTCTATTCCACCAGATCCCACTCCTATTCCTTCTATTCCACCAGACCCCACTCCTATTCCTTCTATTCCACCAGACCCCACTCCTATTCCTTCTATTCCACCAGACCCCGCTCTTATTCCTTCTATGCTTTTCATTCTAACTTAGGTTTAGTCATGAAGAGAGAAGTATTTACTTTCTTCTTTTGCAGAGACAGGTTTGATTTTGCACTTGAATCACTTTAATTCCAATTAAGCATCATCTAAAAGCCACAGTGTACCTGGATTTTCTGCTGACACTGTCCCCTGATTTTATGGACAGACATGTGTCTTATAAAGAGTCCACCAAGTGTACAGTATATGGTCATTCATAACAATTATAAATTATATCTATTTGCTCCATTTACATGAGTATTACCCTCCTAGTCAGCTAGGGGGAGCTAGCCTCCAATTGTTATTGAGGAGGGCTGAGTAGCAGCCTGGGTGTGATAGCTAGCATGGGTCAAAATTATGGTCAGAGCTGAGAGGCTCTGCAGAGCAGCCCTCTGGAATTTGGCCCTGCTCCTGAACTTTGTAAAAGGTCTAGAAGCAGTGGGTGGATCTGAGGAGTGGCTGATCTGCACTTTTGAGGGATCCTGTCCAATCCCCAACAGGAGGCTTGGCAAGGGGCCAGGACAACCTTTAAAAGTGAGAGAGCTTGCTCAGTAGCAGGAGAGTTCTGGTGGAAGACAGGGAGGATTTGAGGCTGAAGGCAGGAGCCTGGGAGGGGCCCAGATGGAGAGGGGCTCACCTACAAGCAGTGGAGATGGGAAGGAGGAAAGCTCAGACCTTCACCGGTCCCCAGAGCGAAGACCACCTGTGTAGAAGGGAAGGAGTGGCCCAGCTAGAAGGCCTGGTAGCAGCCAACAACCGACCAGCCACACAGGAGAAAGACTGAGTGAATAAATCTGCACCCCCTAGGCCAGAAAGGGGAAGGAGGCACTCTAGTGGGGAGCTGGATTAGCCTTCCACCCAGGACTGTTTCTCTTCATTTGTGGCAGACACCGGATCCTCTGATCAGGGATTCCTCCAGACAGCTGGGTAAAGAAGAGGATTTATCTGGAGTCTGAGGTGGTACAACAGGTGACACTGGCTAGATCGCCAAAAGAAACTGTTTTGCTGTGAAGACTTTTAAATAGTTCCAGGAAGTTGTCCTTGGTTTCTCAGTTCCATTGGGCATCCCATACATCCCCTACCCCATCCAAGTTATTAACCCCTTTAATAAAAACAAAATAAACAAACTTAAGGACTGCTTACTGACTCCTGGATGCAAGGTCGTGAAAATGTGTGTTTCCATGGCTGTGCCAGTACTATAGGGCAGCGATGGTGAACCTATGGCACGCGTCCCACAGCTGACATGCAGAGCCCTCTCTGTGGGCTCTCGAGCGGCTTGCTACCCCCCCAGCAGTCATCGTCAATGCGCACGCTCAGAACCGAGTCGCAATTTGTCCAGTGACGTCATTGTGCCTGACACCTGGCTCCTGAGCGTTCCAGCCCTTTCTTCTGGATCCTTCACACACACAGCTGGCTTCCAGACCCAGTAGAGCGGTGTCACCTGCGGCACAGCGGTATCCATGAGGATTTCTTACTTGGGCACAGCGCGCCTTGTTGTTCCACAGAATCATGGCAATGCCTATAAGTTGCTCTCGTACAGACTTGTATATATAGACTTGTATATGGCCATATTTTGAGAACATTCACAGACATATCTTATATAGGTGGGGTTAGTAAATCATTTTTGTTATTTGTGTGTTTTTCTAGATTCCAAGTATTGAACACCAAAAAATGAGCTCAGAAAAACTGAAAACAGATAGTGGAAGATCATTCCAAGAAGCCTTGACAGAGTCATTTGGAAAAAATACATGTAGAAGTTATTTTTTTTCAATAAAAAACTATTTGTATTATTGAAAGCTCTATTCTTGTGTTTTTTTTTAAGACAAAAGATGTTAATTATTTCGGACAACTGTATGAGTTGTTTTTTTCTAAACTAAAACCTCAATATTCAAATGTAATTGCAGTGTTGGCACTTTGAAATAAATAAGTTGGTTTTGTGTTGCAGTTTGGGCACTCGGGCTCAGAAAGGTTCACCATCACTGCCATAGGGGGACCCAAAACTATTGTAACTCCTATGGAGGTAGTGCTGCACATGATTAATTTAATTTGGTGTAAGTTACCTCATCCTTTAGGAAAGTATCCCATGTGTATGGAGCCATGTAATAAGGGAGGAACCGAAGGAACAAGGCTGGCCATGAATTGGTACACACTTACTGAAGAAGACGGGTATTTGGGAAGACATTCACTTTGCACATGATGCTGAGACATTTGTGCCTGTGCCTTTATCTGCTAGACCCCCATTATATTCTGATATCATCTTCCATGTGCTGAATATCCTTCTGTCCTCCACCTTTATCACTTTATTTAAGTCTTTATTTCTCCACAGCCACCAATCAGAATCAAACTGCCATTTTCCAGGTTAATCTGATTGGTGGGTGTCAGGACAACATTTTTATATACAGTATAATGGACATCTGGATGTAATTGTTGATTGAAGGAAAACACAGATAAATTCATAAAGGAAACGTGTCATTGGATAAAGTGGAGGTTGCCATTCCTGATCTTGCTTTAGTATACCTGGACTGAACATTACACTAGAATCACAACTCGTATTTCCTTCTCAGTTATTTTAGAAAATAAATCCAGAGACAGCCAGGCAATGAATATTTTCAGGATTTGGCAGCTTCTGTATTTCCCTCAGTACAGGTTTCCTTTAGGACAAATGATAAATGACGGGGCTGAGTATTGTGTCCAGTGTTGGCTGATATCAGAACCGACAATACTTGTATAAGAACAGACCATTCTCTCACCTGACTCCTCCGTCCTGATATCTCTGAACTCCAGATTGTATGATGTTTGGCCTGTAAGAATGTAGGTTTGTATTCTATATGGAGAGAACGGCTGTAGATCGGTGAATGTCACACTTTTACTATATGACGTGTTACAGGATCTAGAATCATACGGCTTGGCACAGCATCGCAAATAAAATCTCCAGGTCTGGGGACATTGAGGAGTGCAGGAGATCCGGGCGCTGATACTGGTCGGGGGTGACCCTCCAATCCATCATTGTGACTCCTGATAAAGACAACATGGAGACATTAACCCCTCGCCCTCCAGAGGATTCCCCCCCTTCCTGACTAGGCCAGTTTTTGCATTGTGGTGCTGTGTTACTTTTACTGACAATTACGCGGTCATACAACGCCACACCCAAATGAAATGTATGTCCTTTTTCTCAACAAATTGAGCTTTCTTTATTTATGGTATTTGATAGTCTGTGCATTTTTTATGTTTTGCGCTATTAAAAAAGACCAACAATTTTGAGAAAAAAAAAACAATATTTTTGACTTTTTGCTATTAACCGCCTCCCTTCTGCCATATAAGGTAATGACGGGCGCAAGGCGCTTCTCTTATTCTGGGAGGACGTCATATGACATCCTCCTACTCTATAATCGCGCATGCATGGCTCCGGGAGCGCGCAGCGGGGCGATCAGCGGTGCGTTGTGTCCCTCAGACACAGCGGATCACCGATCCATGGAAAGAGCCGAAGATGTCGGCTCGTCATGTGATCAGCTGTGTCCAATCACAGCTGATCACATGTAAATAGGGAAATGCCGGTTATAGGCAGTTTCTCTCCTCTCGAGCTGTCACGCTGACAGAGGAGAGGAGAGCCGGTAATCGGCATTCCTCAGAGGGGATATCTAACCTGATCATCAGGGCACTCATGATCAGTGTGCCCTGATGATCAGTGTAGCCCCAGCAATGCCACCTGTCAGTGTCCATCAGTGCCAGCTATCAGTGCTCATCCATGCCACTTTCCAGTGCCCATCAGTTCCATATCAATGCCACATATCAGTGCCTATCAGTGCACATCAATGCCACATATCAGTGCCCATCTGAGCTGTCTTTCAGTGTCACCTATCAGTGCCAGTCAGTGCCACCTATCTTTGCTGCCAGTCAGTGCCACCTATCAGTGCCAGTCAGTGCCGTCTATCGGTGCCAGTCAGTGCCCCCTAACAGTGCCAGTCAGTGCTGCCTATCAGTCCCTGCCAGTGCCGTCTATCAGTGCCGCCTATCAGTGCCAGTCAGTGCTGCCTATCAGTGCCAGTCAGTGCCACCTATCAGTGCCCGTCAGTGCCGCCTATCAGTGTCACCTATCAGTGCCACCTAAGAGTGCCAGTCAGTGCTGCCTATCAGTGCAAGTCAGTGCCGCCTATCAGTGCCAGTCAGTGCTGCCTATCAGTTCCACCTATCAGTGCCGCCTATCAGTGCCATATATGAGTGCTGCCTTTCAGTGCTCATTGGTGATGCCTGTCAATGCCCATCAGTGCCACCTACCAGTGCCTCATCCATGCCACCTGCCAGTGCCCATCAGTTCCATATCAATGCCACATATCAGTGCCTACCAGTGCACATCAATGCCCATCTGAGCTGCCTTTCAGTGTCACCTATCAGTGCCAGTCAGTTCCAACTGTCAATGCCAGTCAGTGCCACCAATCATTGCTGCCAATCAGTGCCACCTATCAGTGCAATTGGACTGATGCGCTGGTGTCGGAAATCCGATCCCCAGCTTGGTGATTCAAGCCGGTCTTGGTCCAATTGACCCTGGGGGGGGGTGATCCTGTACCTGCCCACAGGATGTTCTGGGTGCCGAACTGCCCAAGGTCAATCGGACCAAGACCGGCTTGAATCACCAAGTCGGGGATTGGATTTCTGACACCAGCGCATCAGTCCAATCACGACAGTACCAATCACTGTTCGGCTGTCGCAATCCAGCGCCGCCTAACCATTTCCTGCATTTCCCTGGTATTCTACCTAATCCACAAATATGTTGATGTGACCCACAGAGTTCCCCATAAGAGAAGGAAGTATTTTCATCTCTGCAACTAATATTTTAGCTTTTATGAGGGATGAAACATACCCCTTTGATGTATGTATATTCTTTTAGAGCTCCCCATGTCAGGGAGACAACTTGTCTCCAGCCGTTTCCTTCCCGGTTTCCCCAGAAGGTGTCACTTCCAGAGGAAGCTAGGCTTTTCAGGTGCTAATTGATGACCATCTATCTTTGAACACCTCGTTTCCCCAATGACAAGGACTGAAACTACACTTAGGATTACATATTGCTACAGGTCACATTTTATCTACTCAAATCTGTATATTTTATGTCACAATGTCTATTAAAAATGTAAAAAAAAATCAAATTTCATCATGAATTTTGGCCAAAATGTATTCTACGCCGTGTCTTTGCTAAAAAAAAATCCCAATACGTGTAAATTAATTGGTTTATGGGAAAGTTATAGCATCTATAAATGGTGATATATGTACTGGTATTTTTTTTTCATCTTTACTAGTAATGGCGGCGATCACCGGCTTATAGTGGGACTGCAGCGGACATTCTGACACTGGGGGGGAACTGACTTGGTGTCACTGACATCCCCAGTGACACGAATACAGTGATCAGTGCTAAAAAAAAGCATTGACACTGTACTAATGGCACTGGGCAGGAAGGGGTTAACATGAGGGGTGATTAAAGGGTTAACTGTGTGCTGGGAGTGTTTTACTAGGGGGCGGGATGTGTGCTTCACTGTAATCACACTGCTGTGGATGGCTGTGCTGTGCAGTGTGTCCAAGCCGACAGGGAGGAAGACTGTTAGTAAACAAAACACGTTGGAGATCCTCGGAAATCACCAAGCGCAGACAAGTGATTACTGGCCGAGGCCCAGTGATTGACAGCAGTGGCCGCAAATGACGACGCAGGTAGGGCATGCGTGTGGTTTGCACACGCCCCCTACCCAGAAATGCAAAATCACACACACACACACACATACATATATATATATATATATATATATACACAGTCAGGTCCATAAATATTGGGACATCGACACAATTCTAACATTTTTGGCTCTATACACCACCACAATGGATTTGAAATGAAACAAACAAGATGGGCTTTAACTGCAGACTGTCAGCTTTAATTTGAGGGTATTTACATAAAAATCAGGTGAACGGTGTAGGAATTACAACAGTTTGCATATGTGCCTCCCACTTGTTAAGGGACCAAAAGTAATGGGACAGAATAATAATCATAAATCAAATTTTCACTTTTTAATACTTGGTTGCTAATCCTTTGCAGTCAATTACAGCCTGAAGTGTGGAACGCATAGACATCACCAGACGCCGGGTGTCATCCCTGGTGATGCTCTGCCAGGCCTCTACTGCAACTGTCTTCAGTTCCTGCTTGTTCTTGGGGCATTTTCCCTTCAGTTTTGTCTTCAGCAAGTGAAATGCTCCATCGGATTCAGGTCAGGTGATTGACTTGGCCATTGCATAACATTCCACTTCTTTCCCTTAAAAAACTCTTTGGTGTCTTTTGCAGTCTGCTTTGGGTCATTGTCCATCTGCACTGTGAAGCGTCCAATGAGTTGTGAAGCATTTGGCTGAATATGAGCCGATAATATTCCCGAAACACTTCAGAATTCATCCGGCTGCTTTTGTCAGCAGTCACATCATCAATAAATACAAGAGAAGAAGTTCCATTGGCAGCCATACATGCCCACGCCATGACACTACCACCACCATGATCACTGATGAGGTGGTATGCTGAGGACCATGAGCAGTTCCTTCTCCATACTCTTCTCTTCCCATCACTCTGGTACAAGTTGATGTCGGTCTCATCTGTCCATAGGATGTTGTTCCAGAACTGTGAAGGCTTTTTTACATGTCGTTTGGCAAACTCTAATCTGGCCTTCCTGTGTTTGAGGCTCACCAATGGTTTCCATCTTGTGGTGAACCCTCTGTATTCACTCTGGTGAAGTCTTCTCTTGATTGTTGACTTTGACACACATACACCTACCTCCTGGAGGGTGTTCTTGATCCGGCCAACTGTTGTGAAGGGTGTTTTCTTCACCAGGGAAAGAATTATTTGGTCATCCACCACAGTTGTCTTCCGGGTCTTTTGGTGTTGCTGAGCTCACCAGTGCGTTCCTTCTTTTTTAGAATGTACCAAACAGTTGTTTTGGCCACGCCTAATGTTTTTGCTATCTCTCTGATGGGTTTGTTTTGTTTTTTCAGCCTAATGATGGCTTCACTGATAGTGACAGCTCTTTGGATCTCATCTTGAGAGTTGACAGCAACGGATTCCAAATGCAAATAGCACACTTGAAATGAACTCTGGACCTTTTATCTGCTCATTGTAATTGGGATAATGAGGAAATAACACACACCTGGCCATGGAACAGCTGATAAGCCAATTGTCCCATTACTTTTGGTCCCTTAACAAGTGGGAGGCACATATGCAAACTGTTGTAATTCCTACACCGTTCACCTGATTTGGATCTAAATATCCTCAAACTAAAGCTGACAGTCTGCAGTTAAAGCACATCTTGTTTGTTTCATTTCAAATCCATTGTGGTGGTGTATAGAGCCAAAAATGTTAGAATTGTGTTGATGTCCCAATATTTATGGACCTGACTGTATATATATATATATATATATATATATATATATACTGTATATGTGATTTTGCGCACCTCTGCCGTCCTATAGCAGTATTTCTGCTATAGGGCAGCAGTAAAGCGGTTAAAATCTCAGAGATGACTTATAATAAAGAGAAGATATCCGCTCCCCATTATATTCAGCAGTATATCTCAATGCCAGGATCTGTATTTTGCAGCCCATTCATAAAACGGATCTTGAAAAAGTTCATGGGGTTCTCTCTGGTTACCACAGCAGAGAGCTCTGTGATTGGAGGAGAAACCACCAAAGTCACATGACCGGACTCTCCTCCCGGCTTCTTTTTACATCTCCATTCCTTTGAGAACCCCAGTGAGATCCCACCCCCTGCACACACACCTTGGTTTACCCCAGTGAGATCCCACCCCCTGCACACACACCTTGGTTTACCCCAGTGAGATCCTACCCCCTGCACACACACCTTGGTCTACCCCAGTGAGATCCCACCTCCCAGCACACACACCTTGGTCTGCCCCAGTGAGATCCCACCTCCCAGCACATACACCTTGGGTTACCCCCATACCTCTGCTTCTACATGGAGCTCAGTGTCAGTGCCTTGTCATAGGAAGACCTGTCTGTGTATGGACAGTGTGCAGTCAGTGCTGGAAGTGGGAGGACACACAAGGAGGTCACCCGCTGTCCTCATCCAATGGAGTGTCTTCCAAGGCTTTGTTTAGATGGGTAGATGCAGCCTGCTTTCATTTGACCTTCTTCAAGCTAAGTTTGTGTTCTCACATACTGTAATTGTACGGTGAGGGAAGTATGAATATCCTGACAACATTGACCCCGAGTCTACGTCACGCCTTTACATTGCATCTTTCACCGTCACCTTTTGTACACAAATGATCTTTCTATAACAAAATAATGTTACTGTTAATGGTGGAATTGTTCATACGAAAAAACATTATTTTATAGAAAAGATCTTATGTAAATGTGGAGAACATTGTCCTATAATGATGGACAACCTTACAGCAGGTGAGGAGCACATTCATTTAGGGTGGCAGGACCAGCATGCTGGACAATTTTCTAGTTATAAACTGTGTACAGACTTCCATTTGGCCTGTGCAGTATGTGGTTTCATCATGGTCACCATTCACACTATTCCAGGACTGATGTCATGTCTGTAACCCTCCAGATCTTGTACCAAGACTCCATCCTGACCATAGACTTTTATTAGACATGGACATAGAGGTAGGTAGGTCCCTGTGCAGGATCATGGTTTGGGTTGTCTTCAAGGACTACTGACCTATTCATGGAGACTTTGTTATTTGTTCTCAGGGGTGCTCAGTTCCAGGATTTGTGTCCCAGATCCACGAACACACCGGAGATCCATACTGGGCAACCTGAGACATGATAATTTACACGACTTTAGCTATTTCCACTCCCCGAGATATCAGTCTATGGCCTCAGATCCAGCCTGTTATAGAGCCAATTATTCCACACTACATACACCTGTTTAAGTCTTGTTGGCCATCATCAGTGTTGTACATAGACTCAATGACTTCTACAGGGGAGAGTTAGAGGATT